CAACTAGTCGAACACTAAACTCAAGTTCCTAGTTTTAAAATGTGTACCTCTGCGGGGGGCACCTGGGTAGCTCAGTCGGTTAAGCACCCAATTTCAGCTTAAGTCATGATCCCAAGGTTCACAGGTTCAGGCCACATGTCAGACTCTGTGCTGACAGCTCAGAGCCTGGAGCCTGCTTCAGATTCTGGGTCTCCCTCTCTCACTGCCCCTCATCTTGCACCCACGCTCTCAAAACTGAACCTTAAGATTTTTTTCAAAAAAAAAAAAAAAGTGTACCTATGCCTTTTACATTGATTTCTAGAAAGCACTTTAGAAATCTTAACGATACTGCATTTGTTATGCAAAAAAACCTTTTCTTGCTGAGATTTCTCAAGCCCATGTTTAGGGAAGGAGTGGCTACTCCAGTTAACTTACACTTCTAACCCATATTTGTTTTTAAGCCTCAGAACATACACAAAGTAACTCCTTCCTATTTTACAGATACTTATCAGGACAGGTCCAGTTTTGTTTCTTCATGAGAACTGGAGAAATTTTTCAAAAATATAGTAAGTTTTTTAAGTTTAGATTTTAACTTCATGAATTTTAAAGTTTAGAGACAGAAACACCAATGAGTGGGAAAGGACATAGAAAGGGAGACCAAGAATCCCAAGCATGCTCTACCCTGCCAGGACAGACCCCGATGCAGGCCTCCAACTCATGAAACTGAGACATCATGACCTGAGTCAAAACCAACGCCTAAACGATGAGCCACCAAAGGCACCCCAAGAGAACTAAGAAATATTTAACCACAAAAGCTTCGAGGAGTGGAGGAAAAAAAACCTCATAAGACACTGGCATAATTACCTTTATTGTAACCCATTAAAATTTTAAGTATTCTTCAGGATATTAATTAAAAAAGCACCCATAATTATTACCCAAAATATCTTTAGAGACGATGGACCAGGCCGGACCAGACCCCAGGTTAAGTTCTTTAAATCCAGTATCAGATTTGACCTTTAGACTTAATAAGGTGGGTATTATCTCCACTTTACAAAAACGTTATTAGGTAAAAACAGCTCTTAATCTAAATAGAATTTAAGTTAGACTTCTCATGGAGAAAGTTGCTTCTTTTTACTAACAGTTAACGAATTTAACATTTCCTTCAACACTACAGACAACAAACCACAACAGCATTCGCAGCAAACCATCAGTTAAACATAAGCAGGTTACTGCTCTTATTTCTAAATACCATTCATGCATTAGAACTTATGTCACAGGTCAGACCCCACTAGCCTCATTTAATATTTAAAGCATGTATTACTAAGTCAAATTTTGATTACTATTTCCAAAGTAATGTTTAATTCTACATATTTAAATGTGTATTAAAACAAGATTTCTAGGGGTCTGTTGGCATCAAACTGCCAACGGGTAGCATGCATAAAGAAACCCCAAATAACTTCTCCAAGCTCACAAAACAGCTTAGGTTCTGTATTTAAATACTTTACTGACAATTAAACTTGACATATAGAAACAAAAACCTAGTTACATTATTCTAATACCTATTTAAAGGTTTAAAAAAAAGACAAAGATTAAATCCAAATAGACCACCTATCAAGAGTTCTTTTCCTAAGTATATATAAAGCTTACTCAACATTTCTATAAACAAAGTATAGGCTGTTTAAAGTGGAAATTACCTGCATTTTAACTTCCAAATGTTAACTAGTAACATTTGCCAGAACTCCTCTTTTGTCATTATAGGCCCTTTTGACATATGGCTATATAGATATGGTGAAACCCAACCATTTCATATTTGCTTCTTACACCCTTGTACTTATTTATCCACTTACCAAAACATTTTAGAAGTATCTTGGGCAAATTCCTATTTCCTACCTTTCAGTGTGGTACCCACTTAACCTCTAGAATGCAGTTCAATGCACCCTTGCCATTACAAGTCCTTTAAAAAGTGTCATACTGGAATTATAAGGTACATCCTGCTGCAGAGTAGACCACTGCATATACCATGAAACCAGTGTTGAAATCGAACCCAAGCAAAATGTGTTGCAATCCTAACAGCTAGAGTTCCTTCCTTAAATGGCTGTACCTTCTACTTAACAAGTTTTGTAACAGCTATTAAAATGAAGACTCCAAATATTTGCGCTAGTGTTTTCCTAAAAATCACAATTCTTGAAACTACCTAACATTGCTTTAACAGGATTACCTTCATTTGGACTAAAATGCAGTATTGCAGTTTGAACTTTTCTCCCAGCCTACCCTCACACAGAATACTCAACCCATCTACTGAAACCCAATTCATTCAACAGCTGAAACCCTTTTATCTTTCTTCCCAATTTTCTTTTCACTTAGTCACATTAAGTATCCTTAACTGTATTCTTTGTTTCCTCACTCATCACCGAAGCATCTCATATGCTGGTATTCAAGACTTAAATCCCTAACAGGCTTTCAGTTTATTTTCCATCCCCATTTCCAGTGTCACGTATGTTTCCCCCTGAAGAAAACCCGTATCTTTAACTGCTATGTAAAAGCTCATTTCAAGTTTCCCATTATTTTATTAGTAATCAAGTATGTAATATTCACCTAGTGTTTAAATCACACAAACACTGAAGCAACAAAACAACACACACATTTCTAAAAATATTTTAATGAAAAAGTTATCTTTCTGTAAACATTTCATTATACTACAAATGAAACATTTGAATCCATTACAGACCACCTCTTAAGTCTTAAAAATCAGGATAAAACATTGAAATTTAAAAGTAATCTTGAGTATTATATAGGCTAACAATCCTTTCATTACCCCTGCCATTAACTTATTTCCCCTATTTGTGACATTCAATTATTGGAACTTCAAGATAATGTCCCTTAATTAGAAATGTTTCAAGTTGTAACATGCCAGAACTCTTAAAACCAAGCCTATTCCAACCGTTCAGTTCCTTAACAAATGATCCTTAGTACCAGGTTTTCTTTTTTAGAACTTTCTGAGTGTCCATGAGGCTTTTTTTTTTTAATGTAGTGTGGGAAGCAATAATCTGTAAGTTAGTTTGACAAAATCCGTTATAAACAGTCTGGCTCAACCATTTCCCTCCTTCTAGGACTTCCTTATTTGGCTTACTGGTGTTATGACTGAAGAGCACATTTTTCAGAAATGACAGTGGAACTACATTTAAATAAAATCATTTTATTTCATAAGAAAGGAGATGGACTGTAAAGAACAATGCCTTAAAAAAAATGTTACCTATATTGGGTAATGTGCTTCACGATAAAAGAAAATTAAAAGGCTATTATTACCTCTTCAACACTTCATTATTTATGTGTGGAAATTCAGTCCTGATTTGGATCGAGAAACACCAACCAGTCATTTTCTGAGAATAAACTCTGGCAAAACTACACCTATGTATTAACTTCATACTTTAGAAACTGTTTTAAAAGCCTGTTCCCCAAAAGTGTTTTTCCCCCCAAAGTACGTAAACATCAAATCTCAATTTTCTTGAAGTTGAAGCCCAACGTGGGACTTGAACTCATGACCCCATGATCAAGAGTCACATGCTATACAGACTGAGGCAGCCAAGAGCCCCTCAAATTCAATTTTTAATAAGCCCTTTGGGATAGTAATAGCCCTTATGAATAATCAGCAACTGACTTAAATACTAATTGAGTAATATTTTAATTACTCTTTGAGAAATCTTTTAAGGGAATATTAGCATAATTAGGACCCCTACTACTTCTGGTTAACTGGTTAAAACACAAAAGAACCCAAATGTATATTAGTTCAGGTAATTCCCTGGATTATATGCAAGAGAACTTATGAGACCACTTGAATGAAGACCATTTTTCTATCACCTGACAATTCTGAAAGTTCATTCTAAGGTGTTTTTCATGGAATGAGGATTAGCAGCTTAATGCTTCTGTTACAAGTGTCATGCTTATTACAAAAACTTCACAAAATTTGAGGTTACTCATCAAAAATCACCTTTATCCTAAAGACACCAACAATGAATTGTGTACATGGGGCCACATCTGACTCAAGATAAATATTCATGGCTGTTGTAGGGCCTGAAGCTGTTTAAAATGTGTTGGATGCGGTTCTAAAATATTCAGCTGAGTAATTTTGTCAATGTACCTAATAGTTTCAAAATGTCATAGAAATTTGTTGGGAAACAAATGGTGTCATGAGCTTTTACTGTGAACTACAAACCTTACCCAGCCAGAAACCTTCGTATATAAGATGGTAGGAAAGACATTCCTCATTTAGGCAAGTAGGGTTCTCATTCAACCTGCAAATCAAAAAGATTACTCTTACCTTGCTTTACAAAAAATTACTCTTTAATTAGTGAAAAAATTCAAATTCAAGCCTTACCTAATGCTTATTGCCCTTCCTTGCAGGTCTAAATGCTAGACCTAGTGACTGTGGCAACTATCTCATTGATGTTCCAAAAGGCGAAGAGCTCCTTCCTGCTAGACTTTCTTCGATATTTCAGTTGTAATAAGCAGATTTAACTAGCTTTTGGAAAGTTGCTCACTATCATCATAGTATCTTATGCCTTCACTTCTCTGTAGTTGAAGCTCTTGCTGCTGCCTTGTCATTCTTTATTTATGCTGACTTGTCCATACTCAAAAGGCTGCTGAAGTCCTGTCTTAGTGAGTCTCCTTTGATCCACACTGTGCTTAAAATGCACATCTTAGGTCCTTTAAAGCTGGTTAAATCGCTCTCCTCATGGCTTACTTTTCCACACTGTTCACAAGAACTAAGCTAATACAACTTATAAACAGGTCACATACACAGATTTCACCTGCTTATAGGTTGCAAACATCAACTTACTTCAAGTATTTGCACTATTAAACTAGTTCCAGAACATAGAAAGTTTGTTAACAGTACAATTAACCTCATATGCCATTTAAGGATACTGTCAAGGTTGTGTCAAACAATTTCACAAACATAGAAACAGGAAATGTCAATCTCCCCCATTCCTTCAACCTTTATTATATGAATAAAAGAACTTGAGACAATTTAGCTCAATTTTAATAAAATGTTTCCCAAGCATTCCTTTGACCAGGTACCCAGGTTTAAGTTATGAACATTGACAGTGTCCATTTATATAACCACATTTGAAGTTGTTAAAGACTTAACCATTTTCTAGTATTAGCCTATTTTCTACGCTGCTTATTCACATATGTCCATTAACAAATGGAATGTTGTTCTGTTACATTTATTGGTTTGTGAGTGTTTTCTGGAAAACTGCAGTATCTGTGAAGACCGATTTCCATGCTGGCATTGCATGCATCCAAATATTAATAATGCACAGAGGCACAGAATTAGAGCAACAAGAAAGCATATTCAAACACTAGCACGCCCCATTCCCCTTTTTATTGCTTGTTTTGCTTAGTACTTCTGAAAACAAAAATAAGAATCTCGAATTCAATGTTCAACTGCCAAAGAAAAGAGTAACAGCAGAGCACATACTTAGGGCTCGAATGAAATTGTAAGCACTAGCTGGCGCACAACAGTAGACATTGGTTTTTATATTTATGACCTTATCTAAAACTCTTCTCAACCAGGGTCTTCCAAACCAAACTGTTAACTCATACCAACACGATTTATGTTCAAGCATACATATGGAATTTTACAGTGTATTCTTCTGGATTTTTAAGTGAGCAAGAACGGACTATTCAAATTCGAATTTGGGTCTCTGGGAAGTGAGAAGCTGGTACTAAGCAACTGTGCTACACTTCTACTGTAATACATCATTTGGGATGATTTTATCCAGACTGTCCTTGGTTTTATCCAGTAAAATATACAGGGTACACACAGGAAAGCATGCCAGCCAGTTAAGGGTTCAACAACGCATGATTTTTATTATCTTGCTTCTGAAAGCTTGTATCAAAAAAATAGATATATATTAAACCAAGGAAAATAACTGAAGACTTATGGGCCTCTTGTGCTTTAAAAAGGGGGGGGGGGGAAGAGTAGCCACTAATTTGCTCAGATACAGCAGGCTTAGTGGTCCTGTTACTTTCAAAAGGTTTTAAGAATGGTTTTTTTAAGGGAAAGGGAAAACATCCACCACCCCTTTCCAGAGTTTAAACGAAGGGCAGTAGACATTCTTTACACCCAAATTAAACTATGGCAGTTCACATGTGACCAAGGTGAATGTAAGAATGGAGATGTTCTGAACACAGCTAGGACTCTCAGCAAAGCTAACACACTGAAATCATGAGATTACATTTTGAAATAAAATGCACAAAAACCAAATAGGAATTTTGAGATTTTTTTCATTTGAAGGTAAATCTTAATGCTATTAAATTCACAAATATGCTAATTTAAATACCCAATTCTATTTATCTAAAACACACATTGCAAACATACAAATATCTATTCTCTCCACATGTCAGAGCCCATTCATTTCATGGTTTGGAAATGCGGAGAATAGATTCCCCTTAAACTGCAAGTCAGCAGGTGTTTCTTTACAGTTAACTTTAGCAAAATTCATACAAAATAGTAATTAACAATGATCTTCTTTACTTGTTAACTCACAAGGAAACACCTTCAAAACTGCATTTTGTTAAAGTTTCTGTACTAAAATGTAGAAAAACTGAACTACACAAATATTGAAAAGTTAAAAATTCCTTAATTTTTTATTCCTGGTACCACTACCACAATTTACAGGGCAATATACCTGATGTAATGAAAAGAAAAAGAAAAAGACAAAGCTACAACAGATAAAAGACCTCAGGAATGTACATCTAATTGACACTACATTGCATTAATCAATAGCTGCACTTTTTGCAAACTGTGGCTATGACAGTCCTGAACAAGAAGGGTTTCCTGTTTAAGCTGCAGTAACTTTTCTGACTATGGATCATCGTTCCTTCTGTGGCAGATTTTTACAGTTCCTCTAATGCATTTGGGACGACTGTCTCAAAGTAACCTGCAGCTTTCCTGACAACTCCTCGCTCTCTCTCCTGCTAAGAACTGTAGCCTGTTGAATAATACAGGATAAAAAAATTATTACACTCAGTGAACAGTTCCACATATTCTTTATCATCATGATAAAAATTTAAAGATACCTACCCTTTTCTTCTGAAAATTTTTAGAACCTTCTGCTACCATATCCACCACTTCCACCACCAGAGCCATAACCACCTAGAAATACACATGTTGTTTAATAAAAATTGGTATAAATTTTTAAATTAAGAAGTTCATGAAAAAAATTTTAACCAGAGAAGTAAAAATAAAGTACTTACCACCATAGGGACTGCCCGAGCTTCTTCCACCAAAACTGCCCCCCTTCATGGGTCCATAATTTGATTGCTGTTGTCCACTATAATTTCCAAAATCATTATAGTTCCCACCACCACCATAGTTACCTGAAATTACAAAAGTTTTGTTTGTGGTTGACCTACACAATTTTCCTCTTTTAACTTATGTATATATTATCATGACAGCCAGCACACTCGGTAAGACTCAAAATGCAACCCTTTTTTTTCTTAAACAGTTTATAGAGCTACCAACTCCACCACCAACAGAGGCCCAACTAGCAGACCTCAGGCAGTAGGAGAGGAGAAATCAAAGCGAAGATGGTCCAGAAAAATTTTTATGTAGATAGGTGCTATCTTTTGTCCACATTAGATGCTACACCCAGTTCCTGTTCTTGCCTTCATACCACTAACATCAGAAGTGTGCTTGATTCACTCTAATTCTGATGCAGTACAATGACAAAGAACATACTGTAAATGAGCTATTATTTAAAAAAATGGGTGCTTCAATCCAATAAGCGTCTGACTCTTGATCTCGGCTCAGGTCATCATCTCATGATCCTGAGATGGAGCCCACATGGGGTTCCATGCATTCAGCATGGAGATTCTCTCCCTTGCTTTCTGGCCCCCTCTCTAAAATTAAAAACAAAAAAAAAGAAAAAGAAAAAATCTTTGAAGTGACCTGTCTCACCCAATGGGTAGAGAGTATACAACTCTTGATCTTGGGGTTTTGAGTTCAAGCTCCACGCTGGGCACAGAGCTTACTTGAAAGTTAAATTAACTTAAAATAATAAAAACTTAAAAACCTTCTGTTGAAACATTAACACTCCAATAAAACTTAATGTATCTGTAACAAAGCTCTTCACGTACAATATCATGGAATTATGATGGAAACTTTTCTGAAATGCACCTATGACATTAAAATTCAATATAGTACTGTCACCTAAACCTGAAGACAACCAATTCATTTCAATGTGTCTACACATTCAATTTCCAGTTCCCATTTGTCCAATTTTAAAGTGCCTAGAAGGAATTCTGGCAATAAATACTTTACTACAAAATGTCCGTTTCAATTACGTAGAGTTGAACACATTTTACCAACTTGCTAAATAGACAGCAAAGAAAATTCAGTTTCATCACCCATCATTTGAGTACTTTCTAACATTATGATTTGACCAAATGCTACGACTTTAATACTTTTTAAAATCAACTTAATGGGCTATATATAATACAGAGTATTTAAAACAAGTAAAAGCTTACCACCTCCAAAATTTCCTCCTTCATTGTAACCATCATATCCTCCACCACCGCCACCATATCCACCTCCTTGGTTTCCATATCCTGGTCCACCACCACCATACCCTCCTCTACTACTATAACCAGGACCACCACCATAGTTGCCACCTAAAAAAAAAAGGGAATCACAAAAAACACAAATGTATAGATCTTATTTTTATTATACTTTGATTTACATCACCACCAACTAACTGAAAAATAAACCAATGACTAATACTCTAAAGGCTGGCAATACCACATTAACACAGCATCAAAAACCTAGGCCAGTGAGAATTAAGATAAAAGCTTAAATATTTATCTTTTCATACTAAAAACTGTTCTAGCTTTTTGAAGTTAAAGTTCACTAAAGAAAATAGTGAACAGTATCCACTGAGACATCTGGCTCAACTGCTAGTACAATAAATGTTATTAACCAAAGAAAACTACTGTTCAATGTTTAGAGGGAAAAATAAATCTGGTCTTCTAAATCATTAGTTGACGGTACTTTAATGGCAAGCACACAAGTTTTAATTAAAATTCAAAACAAACAAATGCTTAACGTCCAATAAAGTACATAAAGTCAAAACATCGAACAGTTAAAAACTTACCATCACCTCCAAATCCATTATATCCACCATCACCTCCTCCATAACTACCTCTGCTGCCACCACCGCCACCACCATAGCCTCCTGAGGAAAAGGTATGAATTAAAAATAAATACTCAATTTAGCAATTAATTTTAGGTAGACACATTAGAAGAGAACTATCTTACCTCTTCCAAAGTTTCCACCACGGCCAAAGTTACCACCACCTCCAAAGTTTCCTCCCCGACCCATAAAGTTGCCAGATCCACCGCCACGACCTTTAAAATGGGAAAAGAAGATCTTTAAAAACTTTACAAACGCCTCTCACTTCTATTGTGTGTATATACATTATTGTACCCACCTCTTTGCGATCCGGCAGACTGCATTTCTTGTTTAGAAAGGGCCTTTTTCACTTCACAATTATGCCCATTAATAGTGTGGTATTTCTGAACAACAATTTTATCAACTGTATCATGATCATCAAAAGTTACAAAAGCAAATCCTCTCTTTTTTCCACTCTGTCTGTCCTCCATAACTTCTATGGTTTCAATCTTGCCATACTTTTCAAAGTAGTCTCTCAAATTATATTCTTCTGTATCTTCTTTAATACCACCAACGAAAATTTTCTTCACAGTTAGATGGGCACCAGGCTTTACAGAATCCTGCAAATAAAAAAATACATGTCAAAATCCAAATTCAAAATACTCAACAATTTTGCCTGTTATGCAGCATAGTATTATCAAAATACCTCTCTAGAAACAGCTCTCTTTGGTTCCACTACACGCCCATCAACCTTGTGTGGTCGAGCACACATTGCTGCATCCACCTCTTCCACACAAGAGTAAGTCACAAAACCAAACCCCCTGGAACGTTTTGTTTGGGGGTCTCTCATCACCTACAAAACAGAAATTTTAAAGTACTGAAACACATCTATACAGTTCCCACACTCCTTACCCACCTTTTTTGTTCTTTCAGTTAACTTACCACACAATCTGTAAGTGTGCCCCATTTTTCAAAATGTTCTCTTAAACTATCATCTGTAGTTTCAAAGCTCAAACCACCAATAAACAGTTTTCTCAACTGTTCTGGTTCCTTTGGATCATGTCCCTGAGAAAACAAATACATTTTAATTATTTCTTCTAGTAGGTGAATCGCTAAGGTGCACAAGTCTTTAATAGGCTATAAATAATAAACACATCAAATTCCTGTACCATTAACACTTGGTCCAATTAAAAATTGCAGTTAAGATCACACATCAACTGATTAAAGGTACCAACACTAAAAAATTCTATAGCCAGCCTTTCAAATGCCAACATCATTCAGCTATACTGAAGTCCAAGAAAATTTCAGAATCAAAAGTCCCTTAACTTTAGATTTCAACTAAAAGTATCTGGGAACAGTTTAGAAGTTGCTACTGTGTTGTAGAAGCAGTATTCCATCCATGCCTTCCCTCCTCAGTCTACATTTCAAGCATTTAATTTTAAACCACAAAACTATGAAATATAACAAAGGTCCTGTTTGGCAAATTTTTAAAAATTCATCGGCTTCAAGAAAATCAAGATGTTAAAATAGGCATTCCTCAATACCAGGCTAAACCAGCATTCTTTCTTCAAAAATTACCAAAAGAAACCCGCTATTGACCTTGATAGTTTCCTATAACTAATTTGCATCTGCAGTTCTATCACATGGCAAAAATTTCAAAAACACAAGATCACAAAAAGGACAAGTTATATTAAATGTAATCTATAATGTTGACAAGAACGGAACACATTGAAAGGAAATGAGATTTAAAAAAATTAAGATTAGGATATGGCCTGAATTGTTTTGCAATTTAATTAATTCCTTAAGTTACATGAACTGCCATTTAATGCATGCATTAAGAATAGTCCATCCAAAGTCCTTAAATAAAGGGGCTCACATTTACATTCTAATGTCTTCGTGTGTCTTCCAAAGTAGAGATGTTAAGGCATTTAATATGAAAAGACTGTCACATGCTAGAAAAAAATGTTAAATGATTAATAGCCTACAGCACCATTCACGTTGCCTTATCTTTTCAGTCTTGGTTAACTACATTTAACCGACAAAACAAAGACAAAAAAATTATAACCCACATAAAATTATCTCAAACAGGAAAAATTCAACTGTGGTTGCAGTCCTCTACAGCAAAAATCAAAGAAACTACAACCACAGCCAACCCACAAGGCGCGAAAATATGTATAATTCTAAGAACTTTAGCAAGAATGGCAGATCAGTAAGTATTTTAAAGCAGCAAACTTTTAAAATTTTCATTACTGTCAACTGGGTGCTGCGAAGAAAAAAACAGGAGAATTAAATTCTCGCCGCCTTAGAGAGATCTGAAAGGACTAGAAACGCGCGGGCAGAACTTCAGCGAAAGCACTAGGCCCCAAGACCCGAGAACGTTTGTGGCATTTTCTGCCGGGCCGCCTCCTCCCGCTTCCTTCCAATCCCGCGCTCTCTTTCCCCGCGACGGAGCGAGGCGGCGGCCATTGCGGCCCAATGCGCCATTTCGTAACGCGGCAGTGGATCAATGTCAATGTGGCCGCCGCCCGCCTGCTCACTCGCCCGGATGTGACTGCTCGTCCCCTCCCCTCCCCCACCGCCTCCTCCCAACCGCTCCCGCCGAGGCCCGCCATGCCGCCCTCGGCCTCGGATCCAGGGCCGCGCGGCTAGCCGGCCAGCTCCTCTGCCGCGATGTCTCCAGCCACAAAACACATCCAAGGGGCCACCTGTGCAGCCGAAGGAGAAGGCAAGGGGGGGCGAAGAGCCCCCAGGAGGCCTCCAAGGCCCGCTCCCCTCCCCCTCCCACCGCCCGTCTCAACGCAGAGCGCGGGACGGTCGACACGGTCCACCCGGCCTCCCCGCTCCCACCGAGCTAGGCCCCCCACGCCGGCCACTACCCATCAACCCCCCGCTCTCCCCCTAATACCTCCTCCCCCCGGCGGCGGCGGCGACGGCCGGAGTCGGGCTGGGGGCGACCGGGCGGCGGTTTTACCTCCATTTTGAGACCGGACTCGCCTCTTCCAACTCGAGTTCAATATGGGACCGAGAGGAAGAGGCGGGGCTAGTTATCACGTGACGCGCTTTCCGCGCGCCACCGGCCTGTGGGGGAGGGGCGAGTTCGGACGGGGGCGTGGCCAACTGGGCGCGAAGAGGGAATGGACGAGCGGGTTGGCGGGCGGGGAACGGGGGCGGGCCGGGCCGCGGGAGCGCGCGCGTCTCGCCAACTTCCAGTGCGGTGCCGCCTTTTCCGCCGTTCGCGCCCGGGCTGCGGCGGGGACGTCAGCTCGGACTCAGCCAATAGTGAGCGCCCACGTCGGGAGAATGCCTCGTGATCGCGCGTCACCGGAGAGAAGGCTCTTCTCTTTCTTCTCGCGCTTCTTTCCCCTCCCCCACGTAGGCTTCTCGGCTTGCTCTCACGAATTCATTTAATTCCAGTGCCTGTATAAAACCGCACTTTTCTCACCTCTCCATTAAAGTTGCAAGAAAGCCCTCTGGGCCCGTCTAGGCCCCTCGGCATCCTCGCACGCTACCAGATGCCAGAGATCAGATTCTGTGACTGCGATGCCCACTGTGAAGTATCCCTGCGACCTCAACATGTATGAATCATGGGCACCTTGGAAAGGCCTCAAAACGCGGCTGACCTAGTGAAATTTCACCCTTAATGAGCTGAGGCAGGACTGGTCGAGGTCAGTTCATTAGGTACTCACTGAACTCAAGAAATCTGTCACCACTGATTTCTAACTTCTGGTTATTGTGGAAAGCTGAAACAGCTGTTCTCGCGGACGTAATTTAAGGAATGATATACAAGATTTCTAGAAGAGTGGTCAGTTAGGCTTCCTTTGAGCGAGTGACCTTTACCTTGTTTCTGACTGGGTTTTGAAGTATAGCAAACGGGATAGTTAAACAGATTTAATAATCCTTTCTCCATCTAGTCAAGTGATTTTTAAATCTACTTCGACCTTACTGAGAGTTAGTTTTAGGTTTTTTTTAATGAAAATGGAGGTGAAATTAGGTGATCTCCAACACTATGGGAGCTTTGTAAATTAATAATCTACCAATCCACGTTTAAACAAAGGTGCTGATGAAAGTGGCCACAGTTGACGAGTCTCCCTACCCTGCTAAGAAATGCCCAGTATTTTAGTGTAACGATCCATAAAGAAGCTGCCAGCTACTTGAGAACTGAGCAGGTGCTCCTTTGGAAAGGTTAGAAATCTAATCAAATATATTATAAATCGCTTGAAAACCAGTTTGTGTTAGATAGGGAATGGTGGGCTTGGAGTTTGGAAAAGGGAACAGAAAGAAGAAGAATTTGTTGATGTTTATCTAGCACTGCCAAGTGGAACAGGTGTTTTATTGAGGAGACATGAACAAAAAGTACTCTGTTCTGAGACAGAAACCAGTCACCAGGCCTTACTGTAACTCGGATGAAATAACCCTCTAAAGCAGCCTCCTCCTATTATGCTTCCACATCAGAAGCAAACCATTATGTATTTTTATCAGTTACTCCTGATTGCCAACAAAAGTAGTTAAGGCATTCAGAGAATATATGTTCTTAGTGTCTCGTTAATACATCAGGCTTTGTGAGTTTGATTGTTGTGAAATAGTCGTGAATAACTTGGTCAATTCTGAGTACTTAGAAAAACACAAAGTTAAAGACCTTATTTAGGCAGGTAGTATCTATACCAAGATACCTAAGAGCCACTGCAAGGGACACCAAGAAGACTGATCACTTGGGAGTGCCTGGCCTGCTCAGTCGGTATAGCATGTGACTATTGATCTCAGGGTCATGACTTCAAGCCCCACACTGGGCAGTGAGCCTACTTAAAAAAAACAACTGATCACTTGACATTACTGTAGGGCATGTTTGTCCAGGTGTTTGCTAAGTTACTTCTAATTAGTAATAATAATCATAATTTACTCTCATTCTTTTTTTAAATTATATTAAATTCTTATACGAGAAATAATGGAGGATGGAGTATTAAGTAGTTCCATCCAGGAACATAGTATGTCAGTACATTCATTCACATCTTTTGTCCTTCAGTAAATGTGGATTCCTCTCTTTGGATTTGTCCAGGTTTGCTGTTCAGTGGTTTTTGACATTAGCTGTTTGTTATGCTTTTGTCTAAGCTTTCCCTCCAGCCCTGGAGCTACAAAGTGTCTCATATAAATATCCATGCTGGAGTACTCACCCTGTTGGATACAGACTTAAACCTTGGCCACTCTCCATCCCTGTAGCCCTGGCTTTCTTTGAAATGTGAGAAAGAGAGTATACGGTGTGGGAAGCAGGAGACAAGAGTCCTCGGGTGAGATGAGGTAGCAGACACACTTTATAAATAAATTATATCAAGACCTCTCAACTTCTTTTGTATCATAACACATACAGAAAAGGATAATTTTTTGCACAGCACACTAGGTTACATAAAGGGAGAGATTTTGAGGCATCTAACTGATGGTAAGAAAAAAAGGGCATAACATTATCTTAATATAATTGTAAAATAAATTACAATGAATTAGGGAAGATACTAAAAATTAAATAAGAATAAATCTTTCAAATAATTTTTTTCCACATTTTTAATCATCAACTTGATCATTAAATGCTCATCTTGTGAATACATTTTGATGTTAGGTTTTATGGTTGAAGTGGCTTTATGCAATTTCTGATCCAGACTTCTTAATGATAAAGTTCTCATATTCCAAATAGTAATTATTGGTGAGGGAGTCTGATCACGTAAGTGGATGATAGAATATTTAAAACTATTTTATACAGCTATTCAAAATTTACAATTGTAATTATATTTAAAGAATAACAACCCTTCCTTTTCTTTTACTGACAAATGTAATATTACAATTTCATAAGATAATGCAAATGGATTTGGAACCCAATAGTATATTTTTATATCAGGATTTCCATATTGCAACTGTAGCTTTCAGAACATGCATGCATTGTCAGCAGCTAGCCTGGGCACCAAAAAGACTACATTGTTACAAAGGGATAGCAATAGCCACTATATGTTAAGACAGATATTAAGGGAATTGCCTGGAGTTGAGCCCACTAGAAACCCTACTCTGCCGAGGCTCCTCTTTCGCCCTCTAACAGACCATCCCTGAGGCTTTTTGCTGTGACCCTTGGATATCGATCCCAAACTTGAGCACTGGCTCCAAAATCTCCGGTCCCTGATGGGCAGTGAGGTGCTTTGCATATGGATGCCCAAGTGACAGGCATCTCCTTGGCCATGCACATTCAGCAGAACTGTAAGTGCTGGTTGTTGTCCACTGTGCTTGCTGCTGCTTTGACGTACACCCCAGGCTGCTTTGCACAGGCTGCCCTAAGGAGACCTAAACAAGGCTGCTCACAGCCAGAGGTGCTGGCCCAAGGGGCTCTGGCTCACCCTGGCCTTTCTTAACTGCCCTGTTGCAAAAGTTAGTTTCTTAACCCACATCCAGGACACCAGCATGCCAAAGTGCAGTAGTTGGGAAGCACTACCTAGATTGCATGCCTTGTTTTGTGAATGGGGAAACTGTTACACAGATCAAGGAATTGATTTCTCCCAAAATTAATAGTAAATGATGGCAGAGTCAGAACTAAAAGAGAATGGAAATTGAATGAAAGTATTTTGTATTTTTTTAATTTTTTTAATATTTATTTAATCTTAGAGAAAGCAGGAGTGGGAGAGGGGCAGAGAGAGAGAGAGAGAGAGAAAATTGGAAGCAGGCTCCAGGCTCTAAGCTGTCAGCACAGAGTCAGATGCAGGGCTCAAACCCACAAACTTGTGAGATCATGACCTGAGCTGATGTTGGCCACTTAACCTAACCATCTGAGCCATCCAGGTGCCCAGTGAGAATATCTTGGACAGGTAATTCTTAGAAAGGAGGAAGTGGAACATACCATAAGCTTTGTTATCCACCACTATATTCAGAATATAATAGTTTTATTTTTCTAAAATCTTGGTTTTTAAATCAGGAGTATTTAAAGTAAAACACAAAACAAAATTCTCTCCCCGACAAATCCTATTACATAGATTTAACCACAGTCAACAACTTAGTGTCTCTCCATTTGTATTTTCCTCTAGGCTTAATAAGTGCCTTAAAAGTATATGAATGTGTATATATAACCATAACTTTGACTTAGTTCAGGCTGCTTAACAAAATACCACAGACTGAGTGAAGTAAACATTTTTTTTTTCAGTTTTAGACTGGGAAGTCTATCAGTGCCAGTATGGGTGGGTTCTTGTGAGAGCCTTCTTGCTGATTGCAGATGGCTTGCTTCTTGCTTTGTCCTCACACGGAAGAGACAGAGAGAGAGCTAGCTCTTGTGTTTCTTGTTTATAAGAACATTGATCCCATCACGAGGGCTCTACCGTAATGACTTAACTGTCTCCTAAAGGCCCCATCTCCCAACATATTGGGTAGTACCAACACATTGGGGATTAGGGTTCCAACATAAGAATTTGGGGGCAACACAAACATTCAATCCATAACACACCTCCCTAACCCAGGGATTGGTATTACTGTCTGTCCCTCCTTTTTGGTATTCTCCTACCTTGTCTTTATTTAGGACATTGATTCTTCCCTTCAGTGTTCTCTCAGCTCCTCTCTGGCCCTTTCCTCCATTTCCTTCTCCCTCTGTGTACATAAAATTTGTAATACTGAGAACCCTCAAGGAATTTGCATATGCTCACCAGGGAGGTTAAAGTAGCAGTTAGCTTTGTTGTTGTTGTTGTTGTTTTGGGGGGGTGGGGAGGTTGTTACTTAGCGATTTTTAAAATTTTTAACTTTTAAAAATTTTTATTGAAACTCAAGTTAGTTAACATATAGTGTAATCATGATTTCAGGAGTAGAATTCAGTGATCTATCAGTTATATATAACACCCAGTGCTCATCCCAACAAGTGTCCTCCTTAATGCCTGTCACCCATTTAGCCCATCCTCCCACCCAACCCTCCAGCAACCCTCAGTTTGTTCTCTGTGTTTAAGAGTCTCTTATGGTTTGCCTTCCTCTGTTTTTATCTTATTTTTCCTTCCCTTCCCCTCTATCCATCTGTTTTGTTTCTTA